CAAAAATATAGAGCAATATAAATAAAGTATCAATATATCCAAATATTGAATACAACTACTAATGACAACTATTAAAATGTATAAATATTTTGCTATATATATTCCTACTATCATAATTATTTATAATAGCATATGTTTTTGACCTATGCTATATGTATAGTAGGAATATAAACATTTTGATTTTTTAAATAAGGCATGAATAAACATAATAATACAGTGCTTTATAGAAATAATTCTTTCACAATACAAAATTCCAGTAAACCAAAATATTACTATCGTTATCCGAGAAAATCAATTAGAGTAAATATAAAAATAGTAACATCAAATAAACTATTCGACTAGATTATTATAGGATTTACAACATTTTTATATTATTAAGTTTTAAATTCATTTCTATAAACTTACATTATTTTAAAACACCAGCGTATTTATACACGTAAATAATTGCCTTTACAACGGATAAGATCAGATAAACACATATATTTTAAAATAATTTATGAAAACGTAGAAAACAATTTATTTTTTATATAAATACTAATTGTATTATTTTAAAAAGTTGTTATTTACCTTTAAGTCTCTGTTTGACGTGTGGAGTTATTGTATTTTGAATTAAATAAAAATATGTTCTACTCATTAAATGAGGTTATCAGTTACACGTTTTATTTGCACAATACGTGAATCAAATAATATGTGAAAATATACATATGGCTTATAAAAATAGAAAATATATTTACATTAAATACACTTATAAATTTTATAGCAATTATAAATTGTAATTTTAATTAAAAAATAAGAAATTGATGTAATTATAATTAGAGGAAATAAAATTAATTGATTAATTTTCATGTATTTCTTAGGGAATTGCACCAATTTTAAGATTAAAAATTTACAAATAGATATTATTTTATTTTTTATAGATATTAATTTTATTATTGATATAGATATTAATTTTATTTTTGATTGTATGTGATGAAATTTTTAAATGAGTTTACATAAACATATATATATGTATTCCATTAATGTTATTAAGCTGTCATTGTATTAATAACAAAGAATAGGATAATAATAGCTTTGCTAACAGCATATATTGTATATATGTATGTTTATTGCTAATATACATATATTTTTTATTTTTATTAGTCACAATAATTTATCAAATATAAATAATAAATGTACGTGTGTGCAATTAAATGAAATTAAATAACTGGTCTATGAAAGATTCGTTTTTATATACATAAATTAAATTTACATTTGAAAAGATTTGAAATATATACGAAGTTTAAAGTTATTATTTGAATTAGCATATAATTAGCAGATACACGTGCATAATTTTACATTTAATTACTCACAAAATTGAGCGTATTCTATTAAAGAAAAACAAGCTGAATTTAGTGAGTGATTAAATTTATATTCTATTGAGTAATAAAAATAATAAATAGAATTATTTAGTTACTTCTTCATATTAAATCTACAAATAAATATATGTATATATATAACTATTTTACTTCTATACAAACGTATGTAGAGTGAGCTAATTCAAAATTATTTAAAAATTGCATTTGTTAATACATAATTGTGTAACCGACGGTTTTAAGCGATCTACGCTTTTATCTTACATATACATACATATAATTTACATATAAATTTACATATTGCAAATATTACAAATACATAGAAGGTAATGATTGAAATTTGTAAAAGACATAATTGTATTACAAATTACATATATTTATAATTTAATCATTTATAATGTATCACATTGTATAAAATATAAAATAAGCAATGAAAAAATACAATAAATTACTAAAAATTAGAAACTGTTATTTACAATAAAATTTATTTCTCTATATTGCTTAATTATGCAAATATAAATATTTTCGTTAATATATAAATAAATATTGTTATGATTTACACATAGTTCTTAATAAATATTATTCATAAGTTAGATATCTCTACTGAAGTACAAACAATACTATAACATTTTCAAAATATACTGTACATAGTCATGCACATATTTACACTATAAAATATATTTTGAATTTTTGTACTAAATAAGATGTTTAATTAAAATTTATAGTCCAGTAATTTGGTTTACATTATTTTTCGAGCTGCCTTGTAAATAGTAATACTATACATTTATAAAGTTATAAGTTAACTCATGAGTAAACTTATGATTTTTTGAGTGTCAAAAGTCTTTACTTAATTTTAGAACTTTTAGATAATGTCCACTTTATATTGATATAGCTGTAGCTCTAACAGCTGCACTTAATAGAGGATTTGGGTCTGGTTCTTCTGTTAAAATATTAACTTTTACCCATTCTCTTCGTTTATTACTCTGTCTCAATGCATCAATAACTGCTTGTACATATAAACCATCTTCAAAAGATGATGCAGAAAATACTGGTTCTTTTATCCAACCCTTTTTATCTTCAACAGATTGGAAAGCTTCTCTTAGTGCAGTGATCATTTTTCTTAATCCTTTGATATATGGTCTTGGAATAGAGTCAGCAATGGGAAATGATATATCTTGTAAATCATCTGTATCATGATATAATATTTCTTCTTGTCCATTACGACAACCATGCAAATCTCCACCACGTGCAAGAAGATGATTACCACCTCCACATATTAATACTTCTTGAGAAAGCTGCCCTTGTAAATGATTACTCAATGTTGCTGTTACCAATGTGCCACCACTTAATTCCATTTGGAAACTGCAGAAATCTGGTGATGTAACGTGTCTAATTCCATTTATATGTTTTGTAGTTTGCGTGAAAGTCCGGACTACAGCATGTACTCTTGAAGCACGTTGACCAATTAAATGAAAAATTAGATCGATTACATGACTTCCAACTAAGGCTAAAATTCCTCCTCCCATTGTATCATCACACAACCAATCGTATCCTATAATTAGAAAGAAAACTATATTTGACAAATATTTTAATAATTTGATGTACAAAATATAATATTCTAACCATTGTGTAATAAACTGCCCATATGTACTCTAACTTCTATTACATTTACAGGACCATTTAAATATCCTTCTTCTAAAGCTTTCTTCATGTGAACAAATGCTGGTAAAAATCTTAAACTATGATTAACAATACTTATTAAAGAAGGATAATATTGTGCAGCTCGCACCATTTTTAATGATTCGCTTTGACTTAAACCTGCAGGTTTATCACACACGACATGTTTTCCTATCCCTAATGCCTTTACCGCAATTTGTGCATGTAAGCTAGGAGAGCACATGATAAAAATTAAATCAACATCCTTCCTGAGGAGTACATCGTCAATTCGACTAGTATGAAATGGTATTTCAAGATCTGTTGCAACTTCTGACACTTCTGCCAGTGTACGTCCCCATATAGCTTCAATTCTAAAGCCTTTCTCTCTTAGAAAGGGAATAATTACTCTAACAATACTTCCTGTACCAAAGACTCCAATCCCAGGTAATGTCATGCTGTATTTTTAATCTCCTCTGTATGTCTTTCTAACTTAAATTTTATTAAATAGTAATAACAACAATATTTAATGGTCTCAACTGTAATTTTAAAGTAGCTTTGTTAACCTTTTGAGGTGTTATTTCTTGATAATATCTTTTTTATTTCTCAATTTAGCATATACAAGAAATTTGACAACCATTACAACAAAATGCAAACACACATCACACTATATGTTTCGTACTTTAAGGTTGGTATTTCATGTACCTATGTTCAATTTACAAATTTATTGTTAAAAAAATGTTATCTAGATGAGAGCGAAAATACAAATTGCATTACTGTAAATGATAGATGTAATCGTTCGGTATTAAATTATTAAAAAAAATTCACTTGTATAGTTACATACAGTACAGTTGTTGTATAGTTACATATAATTACATAGCAAACAAATATTTATAACATTGTTCAATTTTATTAGATACAATGATATCGTCACTGTTTAACCCGCGATCATATATACAGGCTCGGATATTCACTAGAGGAAAGCGTTTGCCAAGTGAAGCCAAAAAGGATCAACATGGCGACAGATGTAGGAAGCATTTCGCACATGTGTGACACAGTGCATGATGGCATACTGACATATACCTGTCCCTCAATTTACGCGGCACTTTTATATGCGAGTCTCTTTTTTATGCGGTAGATTTTATTACTTTATTTATTTATTATTGCTTAGTCTGTGCCTTTCGGCTTTGGACGAGCTTTCGGTTTTACATCTCGTCTCTAGATTTTATGTATGATTCAATATCTTTTCTTTTGTACTGACTTTATTTACGCAATTTTTATTCGTGTAACACAAATCCTAGATGGAACGGATACTCTGTGTAAATTGGACAAGTGCATCATACATATGTGTGTCAACACATGTGCATAGATAGGTCATATCACCACTGACGAGGTATAGACGTTATTGATTTGGTACAATAGTGATTTTAATTGGAACCAATGGAACTAAATTTTCCTATAAAATTACAAAGAAGGTATAGGATAGCCTATACAAAAGTCCTCGAGAATGTGCAAACTCGAGCGTGCGTCAATTGATACTTTGTGTTTTATATGACATGCGTGACCCGTGGTAAAGATATTAGCCATCCATGACTACGATTCATGACAGAAATGAAAAGGGAGATGGTAAAATGAACATAGGAGAAATTCAGCCAAAAATACGCTCCACAAATTACCGCCGAACTATACGCACAGTTTTTTCTCCTGCATTTGGTAAGAGAAACATGCCTGTGCACTGATACCTTACTGATCAGTCCTTTAGCAGATCCTGGACGAAATAAATATGTCGGAGATGAAAGGACACCGGAGCTTTCCCTCTGGAACTTCGGGAAAATCCGTAAGATTGTAATTAAAGCTTACAGTTGAAACTAAACAATTTGCCGTCATTCTGCCCAATTGTACTTGTTGGCGATTAGTTGGGCTCAAGGCGACCATCAGCCGCCGAACGTAGCCGCGGTCAACGGGACGGGCGCTTCATCTAACAAAGGTATGGAGCAATAGTATGACCCTCATTAAAGGAAATACCCATAGAGGTATCTGACAGTAAAACATGCCAATGGTTCCTTCGGACAATGAATACCTGATGTTGAGGCACGTACACAGCACAAATCCAGTCCGATAGATGGAGCTGCCGTGTAACATTTGTTCATGTGCATTTGTATCTTGTAACAATCTAGTCGTGTACGGACGAAGTCAAGAGGAGTAACAATCATTGTATTCCTAAATTGAATAATCATTTAGTTCTTCAGTTTATTGAGGAATTAGAGTAATTGAAACTTGTTACTGTACATTTTATAAATATAATACTTTCGTCAAATTCACGAAATATAAACGTATTGTGTAAATACAATTTTATTTATTTCACAATACAGTACTTAATTCTTGATATAACAATCCCATCAAAAAAGAAATCATGTCTACAAATATGTCACATACAGAAAAAGAATTAGATTTAAGTAATGCTGGAAGAGGCGTGTGGCTTGTCAAAGTACCTAAATACATAGCAAATAAATGGGAGAAAGCACCTGGCAATATAGAAGTTGGCAAATTAAAGATAACTAAGTATGTTTCCAGTAATAGTATTTCAAAATCTCACTTTCAAAATATGTTAAATCTTGTATGTCTTATTAGAAATCCTGGTCAGAAAGCAGAAGTATCACTTAGATTGTCAGAAGCAGTGTTAGCTTTAAAAGAACCTGGAGAAGAAGAAATTCCAAAACAGCATAGATTAGATGTTACAACAGTAACGAAACAAATGTTAGGTGTATTCTCTCATGTTACACGTAAGTTATTGCAAAGAATTATTTGAGATTTGAGAATTGTATATCAATGTGGTTGATAAATTCATATTTTTTACAGCTTCAAGTAGTTCAGATTCTATAGTTCCTGAAACTGAAAAACTCTATATGGAAGGAAGGATTGTACAAAAATTAGAATGTCGTCCATATGGTAAAAACATCTTAAAATATTTCAAATACTTTAAGCTCTGTATAATTTACACATTTATGCGTATTATTTTTAGCTGATAATTGTTACATGAAATTAAAATTACAAAGTATTAAAAGAGCTTCTGTACCACAAAGACAAGTTCAGCAATTAGATAGGGTAGTTCAGAATTTCAAACCTGTTTCTGATCACAAGCACAACGTAAGTACTTTAATGAAGCATTTAAAGTGTATTTGTATATGTATTATGTAAATAATCTTTGTTATCAATCATTTTATAGATTGAATATGCAGAGAAGAAGAAGGCAGAAGGTAAAAAGATGAGAGATGATAAAGATGCAGTATTGGACATGTTGTTTGCTGCATTTGAAAAACATCAATATTATAATATAAGAGATCTTGTAAAGATTACAAGGCAACCAATAGTAAATATTTTTTTAATAATATTATATGAATATATTAATATATATTTATGGATAACAATATCAATATTAATTATTTATTCATTTATTTTATTCTATTAGGTGTATTTAAAGGAAATATTGAATGAAGTTTGTAATTATAATCTAAAGAACCCTCACAGAAATATGTGGGAGTTAAAACCAGAATACCGGCATTATAAAGAGGAAGAGAAATTCGAAGGCAGTCAAAAAAAAGCTGATGAATCAGATGACGATTGAAGTTAAAAGTATTTAAAGTATTAGAATAAAATTTAAAATAAAGTATTTTACACTACTTGACATCTGAGGCTGTGCGAAATTAACAATGTTTGAACACATTTTTTTAGATGTATATTTACACTGTCTTTATTCCATTGTATCAATATATACATATTTGAGACTATATATAAAATTGTTCGTTTATTTTTTTAATGTAAATGGTCGAAAATTGAATGAACCATGTTTTAATAAATATTACAATTTTTTTATTACAATAGGAGAAAATTGTAAATTTATAGAGTGTATATTTATACTTTATATAAGAAGAATGCATTACATTATTTAAATAGGTAATTGTTACAAGATTTATAAATATTTCTAAAATTGTACATAAAAGACAACATATTGTATACGAACATTAAAATACTTAAAAAATAATATAGTTAATTATTATCACTTCATTTATGATAAGTACAAACAAATATTTTTTTCCATAAATAAGGCATTATACAATGATAATTATTAAATGTTGATTTCACTGATGGTTTAGTTGTTTAAATGTGTGTATTTTACATAGTATACAAGCAAAACAAACTTATGTATGTAATAAGAATAAGAAAATACTAGTTGACATAAACTGACTAGAGTTGATTGCACATAGCCTTCTGTTATTGGAATGGATAGTATAGTTATATTTACTACATTGTCGTAAATAATGCAATTATAAAATATGTGCTTTAAAATAAAAAAATAATATTTAGCTACGTTACTGTATAAATTGGTATACCTTTCTTCAATTCGAAAAAAGTGAGGTAACAATTTTCTTTATCTATAAAAATAGTACTTAATACGAAAAATATCACTTAATAGTTAAAATGCATTATAATACATATCATGGCAGGAATTATAAATAATAAATGCTTCCAATAAAGATGTCCCTAGTTTTATGCATTCATAGTATAGTAATGAAAGCATCATATTCAGACATTAACTCTATTTTCTAGCATTTAATATAAACTATGAAATGCTTTACTCTGAAAAACACATTTCTATTAAGAAGAATGATATTGAGAACAATGTTCAATAATTTTTTAAATCTTTCAACTGCTCATAACTATCGATAAAATTTGAAGATCAACAGTTTTAGTTTTCAACTAAGAAGCATCCAAAAGTGCATTAATACTTTGTGCGTGCAAATTTATCATTTCCTTTCATCACATTTCTTTCTAAGTATCCGATAATTCTTTAAACATTAACGAAGGCTTGAAACATCAACATTGGATGACATCCACATAAAACTTTAATTCCAATTTTTTCATCCGCTGGAATAAATACAACTGAACCCCGATAAAGAATCTTCGACGGTGAAATTTCACCCTTTCCATTTATGATTATTAAAACGCTCACTGTACTTCTTGGAATTATATTATACGAAGCTCTTCCAAGAGGAATCTAAAAAAATAATACTTTTTACACATTTAGTAATTGATGGATAATCTTGTATAGAGGGACTTACTGTTATTTTAGCAACAGCAAAATCTACTACAGGTGGACGAAATACTTCGGTACATTCGTCCTCTCGAGAAGGTTGAAATCTTTTTGCAGAAATTGGTTCACAAATATATCTTAACATATCAACTAATGTTGGCACATCTTTTAGTTTAGGAGTCAATCCTGCACGCACCACATTATCAGAGCATGCCATACATTCCACACAATCTATAAATATGGTTTCAAATTATGTTTATGCAAATCATCTTAAATTTTAAAGATAACATAATATAAAACATAATGTAGAATGCTGACCACCAGAAAGATATGCATGTGGTTCATTTGGTCCAAGATATATAGCCTCACCAGGCTGCATAGTTATAAAATTAAAAAAATAAATGCCAAAACATCCTACATCTCCTGGATAATCTGAATACAGTCTTTCCAGTAAACTAGCATGTAAAGTTTGTCTTAATGATTCATCTAAAGGAAATCACCATTTTTATTTATGAATAAGTAATTATAAATATTTTAAATAACAAAAATTACCCAAATTGGATAGTCTGTCAAGTAATTTTCTAAGTTGCAATGCAATTAATCCAGGATCACAGGTCATGAGACTATGAAAACATGTTTTCAAAGATTTTGTATTGTCTGCTTCACCTGTTGTCATAAATTTAAGTACTTTATCTTCTCCTATTACAGCACGTAATTCGGGTAAAATTTTTAAAAATTCTTGTATCTCCCTGATTGGACGGAAGCCACAAAGAGCCTCAAAAGGCGTTAATGCTATTGCAAGTTCTGGTTTATGATTTGCATCTTTGTAAATAGTGGGATATTGTTGATTCAGTTTTCTTGCTTTTTCCTGTATTGAAATATGATATTTAACATTGAGTAATTGTATATGTACTTATATAGTATATGCTAGTATAATAATACTTATATATGTACATGTATATACCTTATCTGGATGTGCTTGGATAGATAATGCTTTATTCACAGATAACACTTTAAAAAGAAATGGCAAATGATGACCAAATACTTTTTGAGCATCATTTCCTAACACATTAGTATTCTGTTTTATGTATTCTTCCAAAGATATATTCAAATCTTTCATATATGAAGGACCATTGGGATGAGTACCTATCCACAGTTCAGCATATGGTCTCTTTTCATCCAGTACAAAATCTGAATTAGAAGATTTTATTAAGGTTGCAACAATACTGTCAATACCATATCTTCCCCAGTCGTAAGTTTGTACTTTACATTTGAGCTCCATTCCAAAGATATTTCTGAAACATAAAACAGAAATTCATTGTCTATAGCTTTTATAAAAACACTTTCATACATCCTACACATTATATTAAATTTGTTACACATAGTACATTAATAAAAAATATTGTCAAGTAAAAATTCTTTTTCTTTTTCCAATTTATGTTTCTTTAATACTATTATTACATATTTTTTCTGTTAAAATATGTAATAATATTGTATTTTAGACGAAAGCATATGTTTATAACTCCACGTAGCATTACATAGAAACAATAGAGCGCGGACAACGTCAAAACGTCAATTATTTGACACCATCTGTACAAACTAAGCCTGATAAAAAAGGTGACACGTAAATACAATATTACCACTTCTTTTGATAAGTGTTGTTCACACTTTAATCGCGAGCAGAACGAGCTTTTCCCACTCTGCCCTGGTCGTCAGGGGAACCGAGACGCTAATCTCGCATGTCCAGTGCGAATCTTCCGCAAATTTTATGTTTAAACTGCAAAATTAAAGATATAAACGATTACTTTTATAATAGACATATAGAAAGATTCATTAGAAATAGTCTAATAAGATGTATATATGATTAAAAATAGCTTATGATAAACAGATAAAATTATTATTAAAAAATTGCATATAAGTGCAAAATTTATAAAAGAAAAAACCGCGGGATTTGCCCCTCTATTATAAGTGTATACAAAATGTAATAGTATTAACTCGTATGTATATTTATTTATAGAGAAGATTCAAGTCATATGAGGAATCCCACTCGCGATAACATTTGATACTTGATAATACCTGCAATATTTCATTTGCGTTTCTCTGTTATCATATTTACTGAAAAATACTCATTGCAATTTTCTTTTTGTTACGTTATGTCTGTATTGATTACATTGTTCTCTTAAAGTAAAATATTTTCTATTGAAATATATTTTCTTTCGGATTTTTAAAGTTGTAGTTAGTTTATTAATATAATTATATAATTAATTTATTAATAAAATAAATTAAACTGTTTATGATTATTCATTACATTTTAAATAAAGATACGAAGGTTCATAACTATAGAGAGTGCATTTGTAAGGCTGTTATAATGTTCACAAATAACTAATTTAATAAAATAAAACAAAGAAAGTGTGAATCGAGTTAGCAATTGTTAATCATAATAATAATAAATAATTCTATGGTTTTGCAGATTAAAATTTATCTAGTCTAATTCGCTATATTTCTATTATATTTTTCTGATATTTTTCCTATAATTATATTATGTATCTATATACTTTTTTAATCTTTTACTGCAAAACATATATGAATTACACATATTACCAGATTTAATATTATACATGGAAATGAACATAAGGCAACAAAATATTATGCAATGGAAACACCACTCTATATAATTTATATTTCGTGATAGTTGGTAATCTGATTCAAGTGCGCTGTAAAATTTTCAACCTCAACCTCTTTCACGTATACCGTGTTCTGTGGCATTAAGCGTGCTGGGAAGGTAGTGCAAAAATATTTTAATATTTTATAATAATACATAAAAAATATACAGCAAAATTTCACTAAATGTATTTAAATATTTGTTTCAGCATTAGCTTTCATTAAATAGTAAATATGGTGGCACAAAAGAAACAGGTAAATATTTTCTCAATAGCACACGTGTACTATTCAATTTTCGAAGCACATGTTAAAATTATTTTTTATTTCAAAATATTAGTATAATTAAAATATAATATAATAACGCATAGGTATAAAAAGTAAATTTACTAGTTTGCTTTTATATCATTTTGATCCAACGAATTCTTCTTTAATATAGGCAAGCAATTTTTTAATAGTATTGATGTTTTATAGAGGTTATGATTCTATTAAATATATATTTGTCCCTATTTGTTAACAGAAGAAGTCCCAGGAGGGTATCAACTCCAGATTGGCACTGGTTATGAAATCAGGGAAATATGTCTTGGGTTATAAGCAGACCTTGAAGTCCCTTCGGCAAGGGAAAGCAAAATTGGTCATCATAGCGAATAATGCTGCACCTCTAAGGTGAGACTGAGATGTAGTACTCCTTCAATAATTACAGAGCAATATTGATTTATATGCTCATAGTGGGAGTCCTACGGAGTAGTCTCACATCTCTGCTTGTAAGTGCAGAGACATCCTATATCTATTTTAACTTAAAAATTATAAGTGTTTATTTTGTTTGTTTAACAGGAAATCAGAGATAGAGTACTATGCTATGTTGGCGAAGACAGGTGTGCATCACTATATAGGAAATAATATAGAATTAGGTACTGCATGTGGAAAATACTTCCGTGTATGTACTCTTTCTATTACTGACCCTGGAAATTCTGATATTATAAAATCTATGCCTACTGGTGAACAACCATAAATATATTTTTATTTAATAAAATTTTAATAAAAACATATATTGTATTTGTCCATTTTCATTTCCCTGCGCTTTAATTTCCATTATGATTGAAAATTGATGTTATTAAAGCTAATATTAAGAAACTTTTAAAATTTGGATTAAGAATTTTATTAATACGTGGATGTCATGCAATAGTATGTAAGTTCTGATTCTTGTAGATGTCACTAGTCTCAACCAGATGCTTGTAAGCATCATTTATATTTTATTCAAAAATTGTCATGCCGCTTTCTTATAATGAACACGTTAGTATTAAGTTATATTTTTTTAATAACCATTTTTTGGGTAGTTTACTGTGAAGAGCAATATTGTCCTATTGATAATCCGGAAGATTGTATTGAAAAAAAAGAGGATAATATTTATAAGAAAGGTATTTATGTATAGAATGTTTGATGAATTTTGTTTAATACCTTTTTCATCAATTTCTTCTTTTAATAGATTTAAATAAGCAATATATTAAGTATTATAATGCAATTGAAGAAGCACAAAAGAATTACAAAATTTGTAATAATACAAACAATGGCTGTTATAAAGATATTATTATAAATGATTTAAAACCTTTCAAGAAGAAAGGTATAAGTAAGGATTTAATAAATATTGCAAAAACCAGGTAGGTATGATAACTGTACATTACATAATAAATATTTTCTAAAATAAAGTTTATATTTTTTATAGAGGAACTGTTTATCAAATAATACAAGGAAAATTATATAGGCAAAAGGATTGTATGTTTCCTTCAAGATGTTCTGGAATAGAACATTTTCTTTTAAAACTTGCCCCTGGATTAACAGATATGGATTTAGTTATAAATGTAAGAGATTATCCTCAATCAAGTAAACATTTTGGAGGTCCATTACCTATTTTTTCGTTTAGTAAGGTAAACAAAATTTATTTTTTAAATCTATTTAGAACTTTTATATCTTATTAGTGAAAAATTTTGAGTGTTGTGAAATATATTTCTAGACTCCAGAATACTATGATATTACATATCCAGCATGGGCGTTTTGGGAAGGTGGACCTGCAATTTCTTTGTATCCTCGTGGTCTTGGAAGATGGGATGAACACCGTGTATCTTTAGATAAAGCTAGTAAAAACACATTGTGGGAGGAAAAAGAAAATAAAGCATTCTTTCGGGGTTCCAGAACAAGTTCAGAACGTGATAATTTAATATTATTAAGTCGCAAGAAACCAAACTTAGTAGATGCTCAATATACAAAAAATCAAGCATGGAAATCTAACGAAGTAATAATTTTTAACTTCTATCTTCATATAATTATATGAATAAAATAATTTTGTATGTCATTGTAGGATACATTATATGCAACTCCAGCTTCTGAAGTTTCTCTGGAAGCTCATTGTAAATACAAGTACTTATTCAATTATCGAGGTGTTGCAGCATCATTTAGACATAAACATTTATTTTTGTGTCGGTCCTTAGTATTTCATGTTGGAGATGAGTGGACTGAATTTTATTATAATGCAATGATACCTTGGATACACTATATTCCTGTTTCCAAGGATGCTAATCAAACAGTATTAGGGTATGTTGCTGTCTACTTTTCATTGCTAACAGTAACATCTTTTATATAATATTAATATTTTTATCTGCATTTACAGAGAATTAATACAGTTTGCAATAGATAATGACGAAACGTCAAAAAAGATTGCAGATCGAGGAAGAGATTTTATATGGAATAATTTAAAATTATCTGATGTCACACAATCTTGGAAAAACCTTCTTAAGAAATATTCAAAACTTTTAACATATAAAACTACCTTAGATAAAAGCTTAATTAAAGTGGAGGGGAAGGAAAGGTCTTAATAAAATTTTGTTTGATATATATTACTTTATATATTTTTTTATTAAAATTTCTATTCTTTGATGTAAAGTATTAACTAATAAAAATAATTTGGTAATGATCAGATATTTTATTAACTTTTTAAAATAAGCGTTAGTTAAAACAAACGTATGTTTTCTTTATTGATACTGTACAATGTCAGGACGTAGCACAATGTGGCAAGTTTCAATATGAATCATTTCGGTGCCCTGACAAAACATCCAATACGAACAAAGGCCTTGTACATTATATTGCATCAAATGTACGTTTCATTTGTGTAAATATATTAAACATTTAAATGTTTCAAATACAATCATAATATAAAATTTTTATACGTATTTCTTTGAAAAAGCAATTTATTTAACAAGTATTAAAAAACTGTACAAGGCGTTTTGTGCATTATTTCTCCTTAAATGCTAGGTCATTCTTAAGTACTTAATTATTTATTTGTAACAAAATTATGAAAACCTTTCTTAGAATGTAAAGAAACATGGTAATGTCTTAATTACTATAAAGATACACGTACACTATGATTTGTAAATACTGTTTATATTTTTATTGCAATATTTAATATCTTTTAAACTAATTTTTTCTAAATTTTAAGCTAAATATTTAACTAATATACACAGAATAGTTATGTGTTAAAAGGTATTTACAATACATAACGTACATGTATTTTATAAAGTGCATATACACACATTATACATAATTGCCTTTCATATCATTTTGGTTTTGAAGCACAATACAAATGATTATTCTTTTCAAAATAATAAAAATTGTTGTTTTCAAGATATTGCATTAAATCTCATATTCATAACATTATCATCTGGAATTAATATGTAACTATCATCAACATTATTTATTATAGTCCTATTACATAATAAAACAAAATACAGAAAGTTGTTTAGAGAAAATCTGTTACATAAGTGAAAAAAAAGAAAATTATAGGGATTGCTGTTAATTAATCAACAATAGTAACAACAAATTAATAGAAACTTATAAAAGAAAGATGCAATTTACTATAATATTTTCAGAACATTTTAAGGCACTTGTACGGAAGATAAATATTTTTTTGATACAGTCATTTAACATGAGTACTATAGATGTTTTCATAGCTTTCTTATTACACTTATTAATACAGCAAGTTACAAAGTCATTATTTTAAGGTTTTTAGATGTTTTCAGAATTCTTTGCGTTGTTTCCTTACATTCTGAGAAGTATATATTTACATTCTTATAGGAAATAATGAAAACTCTATAATACTCATAATACTGTCAGTGAAGAAACCAATCGACTGCTATCTTTATTTGCTATTTGTCATGTTACAGCATATCTCAGTTCTTTTTTAAACCTATATGTACTGCATGGACGCGCAAAATAAGTGCCTTCAACATTAATGTTTATACAAATCACGATGTACGAATAAAGAATAAATAGGCAGTGTAAAAGGTTTGATGACATAATATTGCATGTGACTTAAAATATTATGTATAAACATATGTTACATGTTGTTTTGTGTATTTTACATATATATAGCATGTCTTGTAAGATGCGTCGAAACGATCGATTAACAAAGTGTAAAATCTTATCACATCTTATAAAACATGCTGCGCAGAATACTTATTATCTAGAGTGAAGCAAACTTTTTTTAAACAACTATTGTAGATGCGCAACGTTGCTTCAATTGGAATGATTGTTCCATGAGAGATTAAAATACATAGTAACGAACAGAATCTCGCTTCAACACGTTCGTTGACCTAAAATGATTATCACCCACGATTCATGAGCGCCGATTAGCACAATGCCATTTTTTTGGCACAGTTTCCATTTTTCGTGTACGACACACTTTGAGTCTCACTTTCCCCATTTTAATGGTCCGTGTGATTAATTAACTATACTGGACTTCCCATCGTTGATGATCCCATTGCTTTATATGATCTTCAACAAATAAATCGTCCCTATCTTTTACGTAGTGGCAACAATTTTAGCGAAGATCATGGTCATCAAACTGAACGGAAGATACCACGATATCGACGTTGCCGTGGAAACGTTTCCCGCCGCAGAGTCCGCATCCTGATTGGAAGACGTGACTAGCTGTTCGTCCGTTTCGCCTGTCGAATTTTATAAAAATCGTAGAAGAGGATCTAATGCAAGCTAAGAGAATCATCGCTGATCGGATGGTTCACCGCATCGAACACGTTTTGCGCAGCTTTTTTTATTCGAAACAACAGAAGTCGAACGTAGGCTACGTAATTGCAGGCTGTTGTTGTTGTTTGGAACTTATAATATAAGGCGGCAATCGGCAATTTTCGGAACGGCTGTCCCTGCGCCTGTCTCGCAATCCCGATTTTACGATATTTTTCCCTTGAAAATTTGTTGTCCCATTTTGTTGCCTTCTAACCCGAGTTTACGACTCAACGAGAGATTCCTCGAACGAACAAGTTTTCATTCTCGTCCGTTCATTTTTTTCCGAACCCGCGCGATTCGGAGTGCAGATTGTTGTCTTCTGGAAAAGCGAGTTTTTCTCGGGTTAATGGGACTGTGACTGCTCGTCACCGTGCGTAAAACGCAATCCCCGTATTCGTTCGCCTCGAAATTTTTCAGCATCATATGCTGTCGAATAGCCAATTTCGACAGTGCATTTTCTATTTAGTAAGTTATCAATACATGAGATCGTTCATTGAGTCTCAAGATTTTTGTGCTTTTGGAAATTTATCCTTTTAAAAATTTGTATTTGAAAATTATGGTATACTATCATTCAGGATTAACATTGAGGGAATAAATTGTAATTTGCACTTTTTGTGTTAAACAAAAACTGTGCTTTAACAAAAATCGAAGGTGTTGGAGAAATTATTTAAAATGAAGAAACTCTGATAGCTGTAATAAATATAACTTAATTGAAAACAAATCTTGTAATGGAAAGCTACTCACTCTGCTAATTATAAATTTTGTAATATTTATTTTTACTTATATGAAGTAGTTATGCAATTTCCAAAAAAGGCAAATATAAATTTATCCAAAAAAGTTCATTAAAATTACTGATGCTATAACAGTATAAATTTATTTTACGTTACAGGATATTTATAAATATAGTAATATTTATAAAAAGTGAATGACTCTATCCTTTCATGCACAAAAATCTTTACGAATTAAGATAAATTAATTTTAAATTAATATTTACTTCTAATATATATATATATCTTCTTTGTTTCAATAATCTACTTTTTATATAGAATTTTAATCCTTCAAATTTCATTAAAAGAAGATAAGGAAATCTTACATTTCTTATTCTTAATCTTATCTTTTAGGAAAAAGTATACTATAAGAATAAACATTATAGAATGCAGAGCGTTAAATATAGCAACTTCCACATAGACTTTACCAAAAGAAATCAACCCGAAAATAAAAAATAAGGTTGGTGCAAAAGAAAACGAGAATACAACATGCCCTATACCAAATGATTTCGTGTAAAACAAAATTATTAGAACTAAAAGCACAATACTCGTGCAGATACTTGTGTACGTGTATAAGAGATCAACAAAAGAACGTGCATGTGTGGTGTGTATCTGTGTGTAGAAATACGGAAACAATTTCAAAGGAAAGAAGAAAAAAGTATAGGAAATGGAAATAAGGATTCTTTGGCGGGAGGGTAGATTCATTTCTTAGTCACAGAGAGGGAAAGGAGGAGATACTGTCCTACGATAGATTAAGTTCCAAACAACGTAACCATCCTCCGTATAGTTTTATCATGCACTTGTTTGTTTTAAACGCTTGCGCAGAGATTCGTGCTTTTATTATGCGTGCGTATTAACACACGTATATTCTTATGTGTTCGTGCTGTGATACATCCTTCGCGAAAAATTCGTGCATTATTATGATTGTATTATCATGCGACAAAGTGACTTAATTTCACAGGCCTGTCTACAGATGGAGCTCTTCACACTTTCTCTCACTTCGCGTTTAAAATTTCGCGCGTATACATTTCATGACAGCCATTATTATAGTAACAGAAATAAAACAGAAAGAGTGTTTTGGCGCCTAGAGTTGATGTTGACAGGCCTGATTTAAGAGTTCGGTGAGTACTATTTTATCCGTAAAATTGTTTAAAGCTGTTGAAAGCAACATTAATAAATCGTTTTGCATAGCTTTTCATGTGTCTAGAAGCAATTGAAAACGGCGTTACTTCTGTTTCAAATAGTAAAACTGCTAAAAATGTTAGTGAAACAAAAGATGTGCGGAGACAAAATATTCAATGAAAAAGAGAATGGCGTGAGTGTTAGGTAATATGATACACCAATTGATTCAAGTTTGAATTGGAATAAGAATGTACGAGATATAAAATAGGTAAAAGAAGAAGACATATAAAGAAAGAAGGTACTTGACTAAATAAGTAAAGTAGAATTAATATGCGGACAAATGCACTGACGTGAATAAGCAACAAAATAGTAATAGGAGAAAGAGAAATGTGACAAGTAGGGAAAGCTTAATATTGTAATATTTACTGTTTCCAGCAAACTGGGTCCGGTGACGGTGACAGACGATATTTCACGATATTTACTCCTTTTCCGGCATAAAGGTACTATTTTCTCTATTTCTTTTATTTGATGTTTTTAACGGGTATATAAAACCTCATTTTTATCCGCCTGGCTAGTAAATACTCTGGGCTTCGGAAAGCACGCGGATATAATTCACGAAATGATTTTCTTATATAACAATTTGTTTAAAGTTTGGGACTATAGGAAATGTATTCGTGCGTGGTTAAAACTTTAGGATGACTTCCGGTATCTTAATGAAGTTTATTAATTATTGAATTACATTTTTATTTGTTTGTTGTTTATTTAGAGGAAGTAATATTTAATCAATGTTGTTGTTTTACTCTGATGTTTAATGTAAATTTTATCAGATTTAATAAAATGTAATTGAATCTCGCGGGAATTTAAATAACTGTCAATTGTAGGGTTAACCCACAGTTTATAGAAGTCATCCTAAGTTTAAAGGAGTGAAACTAAATGATAATTTTGCACAGTGATAGAAATAAAATAATTTAATTTTTGATAATAAAAATTGAACTTCCTGATAATAAAAAGATGTTTGTCATAACAAAAACTGATTTTTTTTTTAAATTTAGGATCTACAGTATTTTACTACATTTTGGAAATAAATTTTAGTAGATTTGTGTTTTATAATTACTTTTTAATAAAATTACTGTTGCATTAATATTTATAAAAATCTTAAAGTAGCAATGTATATATTTCGTTATTGTTAAAACAATAACTAAAAAATGCTAGTATTTCTATCAGTGTGTAAATATGATTTAATGAAAAGTTAGTAAAAATGAATAATTTACGATGTATTAAAGCGATCTTACTTTTATTTGTTAGCAGACTAATCATATGTTGTATGTACCATGATGTCGCAGATCCAATGATATTTGGTTATACCAACTTGGATTATTATTCGATTTTAATGTTAGTACTACCACCATGAAATACCCAAATTAAAATGACCACCATATTCTTAAATATCATATTCATCGAAGAAGTTTGTGCAAATTTATGAACGTCGAAATATTCGTGTTCGCTTTTATCTATGTATCTATCGCTTATAATTTACATTTTAACCAATTGTCGTAATATTTATGGATAAGATCTGTGTATTTGAATTATAATTTGCGAATAAAATGAAAGAGTAAGTAACGAGTGTGACTTTAAATTGTAAGGCTATGGATTGAAACATAAGTTGCGAAATATTCTATGGTATGTTATATTATATTTTGATCTCTTGAATGGTGGAAGACCTCTATAAAAACTCAGCTGTTGAATAATGAATTATGTTATACTTTCGATAAAATATTTTTTCATTTTGAATTGTGAAACTGTGTTCGTTATACTTTATTGTATGCACAAATTTCTTCGATGATTAGAAGCCCTAAGTATGTAATAGCCAGGTGTTCGAGACACCAAACGCTGTATCCTCGTCTTTTCTGCTTTTATGTATTCACAGTTTAATTATCACAGCTTTAAGTCCATATATGGCAGTGATATAAGTTCGAAGTTTCAACTATCCACATCATAAATCTATTCATATCATCAACTATTTATAATTAAATATAAATAATTTTGGAAAAATATCAAACTATGATAACTGTAAATTGGATACAACAAACGAAATACATTTACATTTTAATCTATTGAGAATATGTATAATAATATTTGAAACTTTTTTCAAATAACTATAATCTGAATTTTAATTTGGAAAGAAACTTTAAATAAAGAGATAACATAAAAAATATAGCGATAATTTAATAATAATTAAGTAATATATTAGATATAATAATAGCAAAATTTAAATGTACCAATCTGATCTATTGTTCAAAATTTTCTTTCTACAAATAAATAAGAGTTTATTATAATGTTTCAATTTCACGTATATACATTTTCACATAAAATAGTACTCTGATTATAATGAAGTGGATACTGTGAAACTTCTCTGTGACGAGGTAAGAATCTGGTTTGACTCGAATGAAGCTTTAGTACCTGCATCTAAAATGATGTCTCCGACCTCATCGTCGTCACTATCATGGTCACCATCATCGGGCGTGAGGATGCCAGCATGCGGAAATATATCTTCGGGATTTTCGTGAAGCCATTGGACATTACCTAACGTTCCCTTGTTGGCTGATCTGCACCCGAACCACCAATACGCCGTCGCTCTAGGGAATGCTGGATCAGCAACATCCACCTACACAACGTTTAACATAGCTTAATCAAAGGTATTGTACTTCTTTCGTTTTCAATTACTTATTTTATTTATATGGAATATTTTCTGCAACGTAGATCACGTGAGAAGTTTCTGAATAGAGAGGAAATATTTGAATATAAAGTTATGGAAATATGATTTCTATGATTTCAGAACATTAAGTCGAAGACTATTGTACATTCACTATCTATTGGCGACTTGAATTAATTTTCATGGTTCGAAACTAAAGATTTCAATAAAGAAATCATGCAGTCTTTGATATTGATGTTCCGTAAAAGTTGTACAAAAATTAGTATGCTGTTTTTAAGTACTTACGGAGAAGGTTCTGTCATTGAATCGATAATAAGCATCTCCCTTGAAGAAATACGTGTAACCACGATAAACGATCGAGGCATCAAGATTATTTGGGATACCTTCCCAGTTTGAGATCAATTTTGGATAGGTGTTCTTCACGGGTGGTTTTTGAGCAGGGTCAAATCTCCAGAATTTGGCGCCCTTGTAGAAGTAAATCTTGCCGTTTCCGGTCCAAACAGTCACAGTGTCGATATTATCTGGAATTCCTGTAAAACCTTCGCTGATTTCCTTCGGGTAATCTCCATCCATTCTCTTGCCTACGTATCTCCAATATTTCGAGCCCTGCATCAACATAATTTATTTTTATCCCTACGATTCATTTATGGATTATTCCTTCCATATTTATTCATTTATATTCTTATTTTATTTTTATCCTGATGTGATCTTGAAACATATCTGTATCACTGTATGTATAATTTAGATGGTTAGACGCTTCTTGTACCTTGAAGAAATAAGTTTTTCCATTTTTGTATGTAAATGCAGCGTCTATGTTTCCTGGTAGTCCTTTCCATGAGTGTGAAATGAGCTTAGGATAGCCGACTGCTACACCATCCGCGGTTAATCTCCAGTAACGATCACCTGTAATTCAGATTATTATTTAGAGTGACAAAGCATCAAAAACTGGAACTTAAAAATTAGCCTTATTGCTATATAGATCTGTCTCTCTCTCTCTTTCTCTTTCGTTTTTCTATATTCCTTCTCTTTGAAACAATTTCTAATTTACTTATGTTTTTCTAAGTCTTTAAGATTGTTTCTAAAAATGAGACATGATATATCGTCATCGTTCTTTTGTCCTTCTTTGTATAGTTATCCTTTTTTTTAGCAATAATTCGAATGAATACATACCCTTGAACGCATACATATGCCCCTCTGCAGAATTGAACATAGTGTCGACTTTTGGATCCGTGCAGAGCTCGGAGTCTTCTTCGCTGGGTGGTGACGCAGTAGTGGTTCCATATCTCGGTCCAGTTGGAACGCCACCACTATTTGCCGATTTTTTTCCATACAAAGCCTAAAGCAAAGTCATAAACACCACTATCATTCATTTCTGGTTCCAAAATTTTCTTCATCGAGTTTTTTTTACAATGGCGAGCGCAGAAATAGAGGAAACCTTTATACCAAATTCAGTTTAATTTAGCTTGTAATCATTACTCGAAATAGGAATTTGGAATTTGAAAGTCATTCTATATTTATAGTGTTTTAAAGTACACGAGATGTGCTTTTAAATTCTATGTTATAGACAACAATACAGGATATTATATTACTGGAAAAAATAGAAATAAAACTTTTCATAATACAGTTAACCATTTCCTCGCAGCGAAAGCCATAAAAATTAGTCTTTGACTCAATCGACTGTTATGATATTTACCTGGATACCCTGAATATCATCGTCATCTAACTGGAAATAAGGTTGGTAGCCGCGATAGAAGGGTGCCATTAGAGCAGCCTTAACGTCGCTATGGCTCAATCCGAGGGAATGACCAAACTCGTGAGCGGCTACTTGGAAGAGATTCGTGCCACGGAAACTGTCGATGGTCCATTGCTCTGCATCATCAAAATGGGCATCACCACCGTATACGGGGAAATAAGCGTGAGCCAAAGTGCCACCAGGTCCGTCGAAAGGATCTCCATCTCCATGTTCACCTTTCTCAAATCTAATCTCAATGTGGACCTACATAGATAGAATGTTTATAGTAAATGGACTATTTTGATCTTTCTTGATGAGTTCTAATTTCAATTTAGAAACAAAATTAGTTTCATTAGAAACGAAACAGGTTTGGTCATGAGTTCTTCTAGAGTAGAAACGTAAGTGGATTGGAGCTTATTGGAGTAGATTAACGTTGTTAGAAATATGAAAGCTGAGATGTATAAGCAAAAGATAATTTCAAATTAATCCTCAATTTAATTTAAGCGTATCTTTAATGGCAGATGTTATACCATTATATTTTAACGTATGGCTATATTTTATGGCGTTGGCCAAGTTGCAGTGACGTTGAAATGTTACGAATGAAATCACAGATGACTCCATGAAAAACAAGCAACTTAGTTAAAAATATACCAAAGCGCTATTCTTTGTTCCTTCTTGTTTCCCTTACTCACGATCGTGAGGAACCTTTGTAAATATTATTCGACTCACCTGGCCCGACTTTTTTTGGATGAAAACGAGATCTGTATATTCAGACCATACTTTGAACGCCTTGTTCAGCTCGTCGTCGACTTTGTGCTGTGGCAAATTTCGCGGATACTTGCTGATCTTGTACGTCAGTTTCTTCACACGCCATCTTGAGCCTGTAACAAAGGAAGCAATAGTGACGATGCATTAAGGAATTCGAAAAATATTTGTCTTGTTATCAATGTGCAATTCAATAGCATCCTTCTACTTTTTTCTTAATCCTTACATTTTTCTGCTTTTCTTTTTCGAACTCTTGTCATCTGTATATTTTGAATTATCACAATCAAAATAATATCATTACTGTTAAGTCATACGTTATTAATGTTAACAAATTCTCTATTTGACCTGTAGAATTGTAAAATTGTAGAAGAAAAGATTTCTACTATTCACTAACATTGTTAGTTGGTAAATTATTATTCAAAAGTGCTTCGATATCGGATTATTATCCTTTTTAATTGACTTTTTATAGTCGTATCAGTCGTTACAGTGAGAAAATTGTTAGCGATTCGGTTAAAATCGTAGACTTAGTTTTATAATGTTTAGAGATGTCTCGAGATTTTTTGAAAATCGACTTGCTATGAAACGCATGAGACATTCCATCAGCGGATTTATGATGACCTTCGATCATTTTAATTTTCGAGCATCATCTTGGCAAGTCTATAACTTCTTTTTATGTAACGATTGCTTCTATGTGTGGCAATCATTGTACTACCGTCTTATTTATTCCTTGTGCAACGATTTATTTTTAAACATAAGCATCCGCCACGAACGCATAAGGTTTTAGCACGATGATACTGAATTCCCGAAAAGCTTCCGCGTTTTTATTCGTTTTCGGCATATCTAATCTACTGTGCGAATCATCAAAACGTCGTTTCACAGTTCATTCGTTAGTAATCCAGCATTTTTCCTACCAAGTAAGCTGATTCACCCCTTAATCATCGTAATGTGTCTCAAAAACCAAAACATTCACCAAAGGAGAGGAACTTTGTACTTACTTACTCTATTTCCAGAGTCAGAAATATACTCGTTGCGAGAATAACTAATGCACTCGCGATTATTAAGAGAAGCTTATTATCGAACAGATCGCCTCGTCATCGCACTACCAATCTGTTATTTTCTACAAACGACGGATCCAACATCAAGGTTCTATGGACCAAGGTCAAATAGCGACATCTCCGTGATTAAAGAGCAAAACTCATCGAAGCTTACATCCTTCGTCATTTATATCTTTTTTCTTTCTTTTATAATCTGTTCGTTCACCGAAACGAGTTTCTCTGATAATAACGTTCATAAATATTCCCATTTTGAAGTACAGTAGTCTCGTGTATTCAGCCAGACCGAGGGACAAAATAAATTCAAACAGACTGGCATGGCAATGAGTAGTTTCGATAACAGAAGATTTTCAAATATTTTCGTACATCTGAAACTGAACATTAATTTGTATAAACATAGCGCAGGTATAGTCGAGGTTCCACTGTACTCGAGTATTCGGGTCGAATAGAATTGTTGATCCATATCGATCGCGATCACAGCTAGTGGGTCAAAACTAGGGAACCTGTTATGCGATTGAATTCCATAGGATGCACGCATCGGTGATCTTGTCGCCCGTGAGTTCACTGAAACGAGAAACGTTCGCGCGAGGTTCAAAGTCACGGTTAGAATCGATCGAGTCTCAATGATTTCCCAAGCGAATTATACTTCTACAGGTGATGTGTCGGCATGATTGGACGAACGAAACGGTGAATCAAGCGCCGGTCACTTTCTTCCGAGAAGAATCGGTCAATGAAAAGGCAACGGAATGCCTTATGGGTTGCAGTTAATTAGATATGTAGCTGGAGTCATGGTTTATGGGAAGGTTCACGCAAAGTCTGTGATCAGTGGTAGTTAGCGTGACTCGTGGTCAAAGGACAATTAGCATGACTTGGTGATAAATAGACTTAATAGACTGCGGATTTTTATGCATCCGTGGGGGATTTAAAAGTGCGAAAGTGCATAGAAAACGCGTAACACGCAGCGATATATAAAATTTCCAAAGTAGAAGACTCCTTATGGTATTACGTAATCACTTTCTAATAAAAATATGAATTTATATAAAAATCCGTCGTTTAGCTGCACAGCCCAAGGCTGTGTGTGTGTTTCCTTGTGTGAAAATTGTGTTATTTTAACTCGCTATTTTAGAATGGAACGAGGGTACAGAATAGTAATCTTATAATAATATGCAATTCTATTGTGTGGTAATTTAATCATTCCAGCATCATATGCATAATAACGTTTTGAATTTTCAGAATTCATCTTCATTACTATTTTCCTTGTGGAGGGGTTTTTTTTTTTAAATTGGATATTAAAATTGTTCTAATTATCGGAGAATTCACAGGATATTATAATACTTTGGCCAGTGATTTGGTTTTCCTTGAAAACTCGACGAGGTTGCTTATCTTAATTTATTTATCTTACTGAAATTTTGTCTAGCTGTTGTATTTCATTTTGAGGAGATTAACTAAATAATATGCGAATAATTGGTAAAAGAAAGAAGGTAAGATGTAAACATAATACTAGACATGAAAACGATTATAAGAATTTTCTCTTAAAAGATTGAATGACATCTTTCTGATGCAATTTCTGATTATAGTGACCTCGTTTTTAATAGTAAACACTCAGACGTATAGCCTCCTCGGAAATGCATCTGGAACAATTTTGGTGTTTAAAAAATGCATTCGGAGCGCTCAACAAATGCTACATAGGCGCGTATAACCTGTTTAGGGTGAGTGATTTTACATTGAGGATAATGAGGCAGGAAGTTAAAAGTAAGACCAAATCACGAACAGATTCCGTCACTTGAATAATCGTTCAAATTTCCGTCAACTTTCAGTATTTGCAGTATTTCAGTATTTCTTTATAATCTTTTTCCCACAGAAATTAATTGCTTAAATCATTCTCAGAATTTCAGTATTATTTTTTCTGTAATAAATTTTAAATGTAAAAAAGTGCAATAACATATAAATATTAATAAACATATTCCACAAGAATATAATGTTCTGTTTTGAATGTTTAATGTATTTTGAATTGTTCTAAATTTTGACATTTAACTTTGAAAGATATTCTTGATAAATTAGATCCAACAATTACTGTTATTCAATTTTGATACTAATTTTACTATTAAAATATTGATGGTATTTTATTTTAACGATATCAGATACAACATGATAAGTCCTATGTAATTTTGTTACAACATCAATTGATTAGATAATCAAGAAATCAATCCAACGTTATGTCACAAACTTTGTTGAAAATATTCTAGTGGACTTTGATTTTGATTAAACAGAGTGATTTTCGTGAAAGAGAAACACGTGTTTATGTTCCACTTTCTTTTTTCATCAAATTAAAATGAATTATTTACACTGAATGTTTTGTACTTGTTTTCTTCTTATAACAGTGAAAGTACTAATTAAATGGATGATAAGAGTTTACAGTATGACAATACTTGTTTTATCTTAAAATTAGAGTGCTATTTTTAACTTTATTTACCTTGAAGAGCGTATCGCTTCGATCTTCCAAAGCCAGGACCAACTTTGTCTTTAACGCCACACCTCGGTAATGCCATTAGCTTAAATGTTTCATCGTCGAAGTCACCTGAAAAAAACCGATTTCTTTTATTAATAATTGCAAGTTCGATAAAAGAGGAATTAGTTACTCTTCTGTCGTACGAAATATCAAGTATCTTCTTACGATTACTTAAATTTTTCCAGTTTTGAGACAGATATAAGTACTAATTTCACTGTGATAATTAGATACTCTTCCATCTGAAACCATAACTTTATTATATGGTTATAATATTTAATTTAATTCTACTTAGAAATCAGTTTCGATCTTCGAAATTCTCTCAGATCTCGATATTTTCAAGGAAAACGACATTTTGCCATATATCAAACACACTTCCATTATTTGTTTCGCATCAAGGCTGCGTCGAATGTAGGTTCAGTACAGATCGTAGGATTCGTAGCTACATATATCGATCGCCCGACCATGCACGTTTCGTGCTACCTATTTACGATCATTCGTTCGTATGTATGTGTTTTCTTGTATCATGGTGCATATGCATCAACGTGACGTAAACGCATATATGCATAGTACAGAGAGCATGCGAGGACGTTAAGCTACTCGTACGTTCCGAGCAAATCCGAAATAAACCTTAATCGGATCATGCTGTTCGATCGAATCGATTAATCAATTACATTATTAATTATTGTAATATATGGAATATCTGATTTCATTCTATCAATTTATTTGTTAATATCTCTATTTTTCCATAGCTATGATATATGTAAACTGGACATTTTTTATTTTATTTTTGTTTGTACATAATCTTAATTTTGTAATATAAATATTGTAATTATTATAACGTAATATTTAATATCGCGATATAAATTCGTTCCATTTTTATATTTGTCACATAAGTGGAGAACATGTTACAATCCTAATATCTCTATAAACGTATCAGTTTTTTTAGAATTTAGCGAAGCACGAATCATCAAAAATCAAATGTTTTATACGGCGGAATTTAATACATAGCAACAGGGACTATATCAAATTCGAATACTTAATATTCCTGACTCTAATCATGCTTAACAGATTACTTGTTTAATCAGGTTTGAAAACGCGATTCGATCAAGTGTGCAACGAGCTTTAGCTATCTCGTGTCACGTGCAAACAAGTCTCTACTTTGCATTGGGCACGCGACTGCAGGTTGTATGTACGTTTATTAATACTTCTCTGCGTGGAAATCGTGGTGTATTAACTGGAAGATCGTGCAAATCGATGTGAATACAGTTACGAACGATCGAGTTGTTTATTTTGGTGTAAACGTATCAAAGAAAGATCGAAGATGTATCATTGGAATATTCTTCTTATTTTATCGAATATACTCTTCATTTTGTTTTGTTCTCAATTTGGAGTCCTGCTTCTGATGATTTAAGATTGGATTACTTTGTTCGCTTCATTAGAAAATTATCAAAATATTTACGATAAGATTTTTGCAATAAATACATTGCAATTTCTTTGTAAATTTTCTAATTTGTTCCACGCTTTACCAATGCCATTATCATTCATTAGAATAATAATAGAACTAGTACAATAATTCACAGATTTGAAGAAGATAGAATAGAACACATATATATGATTTATATGATGTCAACAAAAATTACAACAATCTAAAATTTATTTCCAAATATATCGTCCCATTAATCTTAAAATACTGATTGAGATAACCGACGACGAAAGAAAGATCGATTAAACAAGACAAATTGCTTTCGTCAAACACATCTCCAATTATCAACAAGCAAGAAAACTCGCGTTTCTAAAATTTTCTCTTTTCTTCACGACGTTTCGGTCTAATCGTTAATGGAGAGTACGTTTCTTTCCTGAGTCGTGTAAGAACACGAAAACACGCGATTACGTCGAACGCAAATCGATTTCACGTGAATTTTCTCGCTTCTATTGGACGACTTCTTACGAAATGTATTTAGCACTCGCTTCTTCCTTTTTCTAGCGTATTTGTTACGTGTGCAGGATTTAATTTGCCGCGACTAATAAAGGGACAAGGCTGGCAATATCCAGCGAATATTTAGCAAGTAGGAAGTTCTGGATTCGTTGAACGCGTGCCAGAAGATTGCTGTCAATAAACACTGTTTCATCCCGCATAATACTCCCATTGGTAGCGTACAATTTAACAGTTAGATCATTCTTCCGTTCACCTTCGTGTTTTACTTTGTATCCACCGAGTGGATATTTCCAATGCTTGGCTTGATTAAAAGCGACCATTTCATTCTTTCCTATTTTCCAAGACATTCTCCTTTAATGAGAAAAAAATTCATTTTAATGTTTTATTCGATTTAATTTCCTATTAAGAATCAAATCGTACGCGTAATTGCAAAAGCGAAGAAAATACAATAAAAGATAGTGAAAATTAATTAGTACGTATTTTGTTCTTTCTCTTTTTTTCATTTGATTGAATTTCATTTCGATTTATTATCGACAGCTCATTGATATTTTACCTGCGCTATTTTTATTATCTCTTGACGTGTTTCTTTATGTAAACGTCAATGATTAGTTCATCGATGTTGACGTTATAAAATCACGATTTTCTAGTTACATATACGATTTCTTTTTAAATCTTGCTTTTTCTTGTTCCTGTTTCACAATAGAAACTTCTGTCGTTCTTATTGTTCAATCTAATTCATACGATTCGTTTTAAATCGAATCGATGCAATATCACGGGTACTTGAGCTAAGTGAAATCCTTTCTCTGTGAAATATGACGTGACTTTTACCTGGATTTCGTAATAATCGATGAATTCGGTCACTTTTGCGTCACAAATTGCTCGTTCTGGTCAGAGATTCCATTATCTGATAAAAACTTTAGCAATCCTTGCTTGGGCAATTCGTCGAAAAAAGTGTTTTCCGTCTTCTGTGTCGCAGGAAATCATTTGAAAAACGTATTTACATTGCGATCGTGATTATAAAATCTTTTGTTATTGCGATATAATGTTAAATTGGCTGCAACTTCAAATATTTCACAGCACTCTGCTTTTATCTTTAGTGTCTCATTGTTCTGTGTCCGTTTTAATTACATTCATTATTTTAATTGCACTTGATTCAAGAATTTTAATGATGTTTAACAACACATCATGTAATGGTTAATATTATAGGCTACTTCAAAATGTAATCGGTTTACGTGCGTGTTTGTCGTAAAAAACGAAAAGATGACTGGTGTCTGAAAAGCATGCACGTATTTGTAAGAGATGTTAATCAGAAGAATGTTTTTAAGTCAATTGTAATTGTAACGACCGTAAGCGCAGCTGATTTTTATGCAAATCGATAAATTGTCTTTTATACAACGTGGTAAATATAGCAGGACGTTGCTTTGAATTTTATTCGATCGAGAAGTAACTCAATTTTGTTAGAAAATATATATCGATATACGATAGATTTGATAGGAGAGATACTACTTTTTTAATGATCGAGAAACAGATATTGTTATCAAATAGTAATTTGATTCGGTATAATATCGTACCAGATATTATGTATTAAAATCATTAAATTTGATCCAACAAAAATCGATTCAAATCAGAGAACGGAGTCTAATGTCGAAGAATTAAAATCGCGATTATTGACTTCTAATCGTAATCAATATCAGAAAAAGGCCGGATGACATGGTCGCAGTCACATCATGTGAGTCACTTTTTAAGCGCCATTAAATGAATCTGTTGCATTTCTCCGAATTCTGAGTCACACCGTTCAGCATCATCATCGATTATCCACAAGGAATCATCCCATGACTTTACAACGCAAACTACTTACTTCCTATTCATATACGAGCTTTTATAAAATTTTAAACGTTCCAATACTCGCGTAAAAGATATATTTTTACATTTATTGCGCGTATAGTCGATCGATGTACCATCAATGAAGTTTGTATAAATAATGGAAAATTTTCCTCTTCAATTTTTCCATAATTTTTTTTTGGAATATACACATGTCCTGTCGCAATTATTAAAATCGCTCTGTACAATGTAACTTCCTTGTCAGTCGAATATTTATCCTAGTCGCAATAATCAGCTATCACAAAATTCTTGTCCTATCAGTCTCTAGAAATCATCTATCTCAGATAACGATTTATCAGCAACGCACTCTCGCTTTTCTCGCGTTTACCCAGGCCAGCCATTGAAATTTTACCGGAAGCAGTAATTTGTTTTCCTCGTCGTCGCGTTATTTGCTGACCAACGTTCTGTTAAGGCTCGAGCCTTGACAGTGATTGGTTCGAATTCGTTCGTTTTAATAGCCGGTGCCCGTTGAATGATTCTCATCGTCCACGCATATTGTCTGATGTTTATTTGTTCATTTTTCTATAATTTCTGCTACAGGCGCGGTTTCTTCTTTTTTTTTATTTTTTCTCTCTTTTACCAACATCGATTTTTGTCCGCAGGTTCGAATCGCGTGTTTTCAGAGAAGACGGATCGGCCAAAGTGGCGTCTGGTCTCTCAAGGTCTAGAAACGCTGAAAAATCCGCTCTTTATTCGGAGCCGGTCGAACAAGTACGTGGAGATGTAAGCGTACATTTTGTCCGCTTGTTGCGAACCGAGAATGAATCGGGACGATTCTTAGAATAACAGGATGTTTCTTACCACCAGGCTAAACCATAATTTAAAGATAATGGAAGATAGAGCAGCGCTTTATTAGAGAAGATTAAGTGCTTTCGAATAATGTATCACGCGAGGTTTGATGAAAATTGACATTAATTTCGTTGAAAACACCTTTATGTTTTTAGCAATTGTAGAAAGATTGTATTTCTGTATTTTTGACGCGTTCACGTAGAATGATAAAGTTTGATAATAGAATTATGGCGAATTATAGAATTAAATATATAAAAACATTTTAGATTTAAATTGTTATGATATTGTATTTGCAAAATTCTCTGCACTATGTGGGTACCATTTGAAAATACTTTGTGTTCCAGTTCTGAGTGTATGTAGGCTAATATGTGGGTAAATTGACGTATTATCGTTTTACGAAATTATCATAATCTCAATGCTAGCTGTAGATTGCTGTACGTAGCTAATATACATGCTTTTGTGTATTTTAAAGCAGTCTGTCACCTCTTTAAGATACGTAACTTCGTGGCTGTAATATGTACTTGCAAGTACATTGTATTTATATTATTTTTTGACTCTTTATAATAGAAAACATAATAAGTATAATTTTTAAGATACGGCAACGTATTTACAATTAGATCGATTAGAAATGTGACTGCGGTTGGACAAATAATACTAATCGACAATCATAGCTAGTCAGTTATACTTTTTGTTTGCTTTCTTTCAGTTTCGCTTCTGTCTCATAAGATCAGTTAGATTTCTTTCAAAGTTAAACCACGATTATAATATACAAAAAAATTATGATATGAAACGTAGAAAATATGCGATTTTTACTAATTTTTAATACACGTCTGTTACCTGAATACTGCAAAGATTAATACAGTCACACGCACCTGCATTTTATTATCTGTACGAAGCCATGTCACTTTCTTGTGACGTCGCTTCTTATCTACGGCCTTAATTACTCCACGGCTGATAATTGAAAGTATTTTTTACTATTCAGCTCGCGGTAGAATAATAATTATTCGTGCGAACAAGTATGACGCGCGTGTCTTTTGACGTATAGGAAACTACTTTTTGGATCGAACTGTGAAATAATGCGTGGCGAGGCACACATCATTCGCATCTATTTCATTGCTTCTATCTAGCCAATTTACGGCTTGCTGCGAGGTTTTCTCTGAGTCAGAGCAAACAGTATAGTAATGTCAGAGGGACACCGAACAGATACCATCCACCGGTATGATTCATTCATTCGCGACAACTATTAAACTCAATTACGGTTTTAATATAGTACGATCGCAAGGACGTTTGTAAAAATTAATTGATAAGACTAAGACTGCTGCGTTCGTACGATAGGAGTAGATCATTCGAGGTGTTTGGATAGAGGAAAGAAGCGCGTAGTGGAGTTTTGTCAGAATTTTGGGATACTCTGAATTTATCTCGAATTATTTGTAGACTTTTCACTTGGAATAGCTTTGCATTATTTTCTTCTTTTATTCCATTGGAATTTTTCTTGGATTATTCAATCGGAGTATTCTCGTCTCCATTATTTCCATACAGCTGTATCGAATTATTTTTGGATTGTTTTGTTGCATTAATTTTGAATTATTCTTGAACTTTTCTGTCGGAATATTTTTGCATTCGTTCTTTAACATTCTGTCGGGATATTTATTCGATTATTCTTGTATTATTTCTTTCTGCAGTTTCATTGAATTATTTTTAGAATAGTTTACCGTGGAATTCTTTCATTATATTCCTTCTATTCCACTGAAGTATCCTTGGCTCATTCTATTTGACTATTCTTATACTTTTCTGTTCTTCCATTGAATTATTTTTAGACTATTAGCCCGCTGTAGTCTTACATTAGTTTCCTATTATTCGCATTATTATCGCACTATTATTTTTAAATAGCTTCCTCGTTATTATACGACGGTCTGATGTCTTTCGTAAATTTTGACTGTACGTACCAGTAATTCTTATTGAAACTTTTTTCTAAGAGCAAAGGTATCTATCTTTCCTTGATATTTTGTTACTACGTAAATAAATACCTTATAAACAATCGGAATACAAGACTCACCTGTAATATTTAATCCAGCAAAAGCTTGAAATTCCGAGATCGCTTTCGAGAGTGTATCCTGAGATATAATTCCACCACTTGTTGGATTGATAGGTTGTAAGTAGCCAAATTGAGACAGATAGTTCTGCAACAGGTAAATAGATTCCAATCAATAGGTTTTCTTAAATAACGATTTAAAACACACACAGACACACATTCGTTTCATTGATACATGAAATTGTAATTTTCGATTTATATTACTGTTAATTCACATTCTGAAATTCACACCTAAATTAATTCACATCTAAGAAAATATAAGTTTCAAAAATTCAAGGATAATTTGATATTTCTACGATTATGCTGAAATTGGTATTTCTTATGTAGCTTTTTAATAGAGTAAAAATAATAAGGCGATTCTTATTATCTCGTTTGATGGCCGGACCGCTATATTTTGCACGTTGAAAAAATATAAATGGGACAGATGGTGATGTCGAGGGGATTGACCTGGCTGATGATTCCATTGCGGCATGATACAGTTATCTAGTCACGATGAATAAAAGGAATTAATATTCCGGCGAATAAAACGCCGCGCGTGTAAGTACGCGTTTCCGTTTTCCTTATCTCCTATTCCTGACTGAATCATCGCAAATTTTCTGGACGTAAAATTGTCTCTTATTCTTGACTGAATCGCAGCAAATTTTCATCAATCATTGATGCATAAGATCTGTTATCTTATGATTTCATTGACGATGAAGTTGCTCGTTGGTTCTCACAACGAATGGGTTCGTTGACTAAGAAATTGAGAATAAGATTCTGTAACATTTATCGTACATCGAGTAAAGGATTGAGAAATAAAAATGGATAGTTACTATCATTGGCTGTTATTTAGTATTTTATTTTTTGGAATGTCTCTTGAAAGATGTCGTTCGAACGTTTTATAATTCTCTGTAATTTATTTCCAGTCTCTTTCGTGATCGACAAATCAAAGAAATACCTTTAGGAATGTTCTAAAAGTATTAAAAGAATGGTCCAAAAGTACATATATTTTGTACTTTGATATATTGTAGTAAGACAGCGATAAAAGGAACAAACCTGTAATTCGATTTGTAAGAAGTAGTAAGAAATATAATTCACGTTAGCGGATAAACGTCTCTACCACGTAATAATTATCTTTTAATAAGCAAAAACTACAATGATTCAAGAAATTGCAAGCTACCGTATCGTTAAGAAGGAACTTTATTCGCCTGACATAAATTATCGAGAAATTCATTGTAAATAAGTCTCTCTCTACAACATCGGTATCTAATTTATTTATTAGGTACATACTATTTTACTTTTTCATTAAAATACACGTCTTACCGAGAAGTATAGTATATTAGAATCACTATCGTATTTCAGTATCATTTAGCTCATCACAGAACAATAAATCGTTAAGTGACAATCATTACATGTAACATTCTAATGTCTGAAACACTTTAATAGTACAATTACGTGATAAATGTGGTATCGGTTGAAGTGGTTTTTAGAACCGCTCTATGGTCCTTTTCATTGTTAGCGAAATGACACGCCAATAAATCGTGAAACGAGCATTAAATCGTAACCGTAGCCTCGGCTGGCTCCTCGTAAACGCAAAGTTATGCCGTGACTCACAATACGGTAACGGATAAAAGAGATATTCATTCGAATAATCGATGTGCACACTCTGATCCAGAGAGAATTCTTGCTGCACTCGAACCTCTGTTGAGGATTCAGAATATGTACAGTTTGCATAAAAGGCGATGATTCATCGTCTAAACGAAATAACCTGTTCGTCTTTTTTAAATTCCAACTCGAGAATTTCGTTATTAATCCTTAATTAGAAATCTTTAACAGGCAGCCATAATTTCGAGAAGTAATTTTGGAAGTGAACTAATATTTTTCAAAGCTTTTTTAATTAATTTTTATCAATTAATTAATTAATTTTAATTAATTTCGTTTAGCTGTATATACGTGTGTGGTTTTCTCGCTTTTTGTAAATTCGTTTAATAAGTAAGAACTATAACTGGATAATATTGCATTGGAATATTGTACCAAAATATCGGATTCGAACGATTCGTTCATCTATGACTCGTATCTGTGTATCGTAGTTAGGATAGAGTTGGTCAAGTAGTTCTTCGAATGGCTGCAGAAACTTAATGTAAAAATCGTATTATAAGGCTGGATTATTCCATCCTTCGAGTATTATTTTTAACCTAATGCATTCCACCCTAAATACGTAGGATTCGAGCAGGATTCCGCGAGACACGCGCTTCAAGTGTATCTCGAGCTCCAGAGGATGCTTATGTTAATCAATTCTGCTCGTATGGATTTAGGCTCGATATAACTTACGTACGTGAGATCGACGAAAATAAACATCGCGATTTGCATAGAGAAAAACGTATGTCTTATATATAATCGCTCTTCTACCAGATCAATGATGTTATTATATCCTATAATTCATTATATCAACACGAAATATCAGGATGATCGATCAATAAATCCATTCACTCACAAGACAAACAAGGAAACTCACTCGATAATCTCCATTGTTACAGTTTGCACATCCAAGAGGCAGGAGACGCCCATGGGGAAAGACGCAACACTAGTCACCAAAAATTGTATCTCGGTAACGATCGAAATTCTTTCACAGGATAAACTTGTTTTCTCATAACGAAAACCCATGACGACGAGGTAAATTCCATGCCTATAAAGATTACCATCGCTCGTTTCCATTCAGTGTCAATGATTCAAACCTGGATCACGCTTCCGCGTCTTACGAATCTCGTAATAAACTCGACGCGAGCTGGTTCCAGGAACGGTGTGATTTTTATGAATGAACGTAAGCGGAGTAAGCGTAGTTGCGAGAGCGTGTGTGTCACGCGTGAATGGGCCACTCCTTCCGACGCCCTCGTAACACAATCGTATAGTATAGACACTTCTGCTCAGAAGTATTCGAACACAACTATCTACGTACTGTACATGATTTTTGCCTTCAAAACGTACACGCGATATTATTTATGCAAATATCGAAGTTGCAAAGTTAAAGACGCGAGGAAATGTTTAACGTAAAATAACAAGACGTTCGATTCGACGAGGGAAATTAAATAAATGTTTTAGAAAAACACGTACATTCTTTTATAAAACATACAAAAGGTCGGTCGGTTTTCAATTTTGAAAAACGTTTAAATTAAAGTTGGAATATTTATATATGGAAATATCGAGCTTCTTCACGACAAATCCTCTCTTAGTTTCAATGATTGGCGGTAGCACGTTAAGTACGCGAAAGATCACGCGGAAGATAAACTAACGAGCAAGAATTGTACTTATTGACTTTTGAATATCTTTCTGCGAGTATCTGAATATCTTTGAACGGTAGTGTTCTTGTTGTAGACGCGTGTACGTGCCGAGAAGCTACCAATTCTGAATCATTCACGTCTCTCTTTTCCTCTTCTTTTTTCTTCGCGGATTTTGATCGTGATTCGAACACCAGGTAAAATCGTCGGTGGAATTCAAGGATTCGTATCGTCATTGAAGCGGCAAGTAATATTGCGTGGGCGGTGATAAAGACGATCGGTCTGGCGAATGATCGCGAACCCAGACACGTGTACGATTCAACGTGATCTAATTGATCTCGCGGAAGTTTAACATCGTGTCTCATGTTGGAACATTGGTTTTCTTAATGATGGAGATTCGTCGTTTTATTCATTTATTAACGTACGTCTGACGTACTTAGATTGAAAACGATTTTCGTAATTAACTGGAATATAATTGACTTTTTGTGAAGGAACTTGTAAGTAGAATAATCGTATATATCGAATTACATATTCCAGCAGAGAAAATTATAACCATGATCGAGTAAATTACAACTAGGCGTACACCTGTTTTTCAGGTTGAAAATCTACCTCAACGAACAGCAGAATGTTTTGTGTAAGAAAATGATTTTCTACAGATTTTTACGGGTTTGTAATATAATTCTGCATTCTTCTATTGATCTTTGTTGCTATTAGAGTTTGAGTTCGAAGCTTGTTAAATTAGTAATTATTTTCTCCAACATCACAAGTAGGCAGAGATACCAAAAAGGAAAAAAATGTATATTTCGAGTTTTAAGTTGAGTTACTCAAGAGCAATTAATCACTGTTTGTTACATTCGACATCACAGATAATATAGACATTTATTATCGATGAAACATCCTATATAATAATAATAATTTTGCACAAGATAAAGATAAATTGACCACAATGTCCCTTTCTGTTTTATGACGAACAAATTCTTCAAGGCAACGTGACGAATCGTGGGTGTGTTTAATCGCATTAGTACTCAAGCATTCTATTGTATCGCCATAATTCTTCAATATCTCTTACGTACAAGATACGACATTACTTTAACTCATACGTAAATTAGCAACTTTAAAAATCGTACTAAAAATACTACATTTTTATGTCTTTCAAGAACACACACCCACACACAGAAAATAGCATATTACAATTAACAATTTTTTCATAACAATGTCCTGTTCCTTTCACAAAGCGTAACATCATTTAATTTACAACACTGAAACAACTCGTAAATAAACGTGCCGCGGCTTATCGCTCGCACCGCCGGCGACGAAAAGACACGAATTAGTTGCGAAGAAGATCGTAGATTAACGAAAAAAAAAAAGAAAAAAATATGCCGAAGACATTGTGGCGTAAATCACGATGACAGCATTGCAATTACATGTCACGTGCGATCATGTTCACGTGAAGCAAAATCGAAGGAAAAGAACGCAATTGCGCGATCTTCATGGTCGAAACGAGGAAGACGAGGAAGATTAAACGTCGTCCAGTTGCCCGAGAACATTTTTTCCGTCTCACGTAGCTCGTTTCTAAGAATCTCTTCTTACTATTATTACTTCCTACTATTGCTTCTTACTATCATTTGTTTCCTCTTGGTGTCGATAGGGTGGAATGCTTTAAGCGCGAGCAAAGATCGGGACAGAAGAAGTTTTCATACTTTTCAGCAACTGTAGAAGTGCGATCGATGTCTATTTGTCAAGGCTGTGGGGTCTCATCGACAAATAAAGCTTCGTAGAATTTTACCAACGCGCTAATTTTGACGAAATGTTCTTCTCCTTCTTTAAGATTGAAAGTGTAAAGAAGAGAGAGAAAGAGAGAGAGAGAGAGAGAGGAAAATAGAGTTTTATAAGAAACACTATTATCAATCTTCAATGCTTTTAAAAGTCTTCACTGGAACGGAAGGAAACTGAAAGTAGTTAAGACTAGAAAAATCATTAATAAGAAGGTCACTGTGGTGATCAATTCTCAGGTGTGAAATTAAATTTAATTTCCAATAATTTCTTATAGACGACACGTCATTTAGTATTTTGATAAAATATGAATTATCAATCCATGATAGTTTACTTGTAATTACTTCAAGGTAGTTACAGTACTTGTAATTACTTCAACCTATTTGCACCGTATTTTCACCGTAGTAGTTAAGGATTGAACTTAATTTTACAGAAGTTAATTTCATACTTCTTCGAAATTATAAACGATACGAATTGCATAATATGTCGTTATAAACGAACTTGCCGGTCCTTATCATACAAGTTATATAAAGTAAGCAATGATTTGAAATAGCGTGAATCGTTAAACTGCGATATTTCCTTTTGGAATTTATTTCTATTTGACAATTTTTTGCTCGAAGAAAGCTTCGACAATTGCTGATTATAAGCCACGTGGAACGTAATCGTGACATTTTCCTCTGTGTTGATAGGCGATCCTTGCAAATCTGCAAATCAATAATCGTCGCCGTTGACGTAATTACCTGTGGCCGGCTATTCGGTCGAAGCACGAGACGTTTTATGCCCCAGCTACCTTGAGAAACGCGCAGAAAACACGATAATACAATTTCAAATTACAGACCACGCTGTTCTTAGTTTAACGAACAGCCTTGGCAATTTTTGACGTCGTCGATTTCGCTGCTTTTAGCTTCTTGTTCTTTCAATACTTTCTCGTAAATTCAATATGTGATAATAGCAGCATAAAAACTATATGTCTATATTGTATATATTGTGTGAAATAAAAGAGAGCCATTGTTCTATGAAAATTGTACAAAACGAGAATTATAATGTCGTATATGTGTGTTGCTATTGCTAAAGATAGTTGTTATTACTTCGTTTAACATTCTACAGGTGCGTAACCCTGTCTGGTATACAACATTCCCATGGAAATTCGTTCTATTGAAAATAATATCCTTTACGTATCTTTTATACGTTCGTTTCGCCTCTCGGTTCTTAACTTAATTCTCAATTCGAGTAAACAAATTTTCTCGACTCGGTCCCACCTACTCCCAAAACAAGATAAAAGGAACAAGTCCAACGTTTGCTCCACATAAACCCAAACACACAAGATGATCGTCGTATCGCGTTCACCTGTCAAAAAGTTGACATTTTGATTGGTAAAGTTATCAGGTGTGACGTGTGCCCCGTTTCCATGACCCAATTTCAAACTAGCGTGGATTTCGTGCCTCCACACGACTCGTGTAACAATCGCTGTTTTCTCTTTCGTAATGATTCCATATCTATCCCGTCTATCTACCTTTAACATCGTCGTTATGCACGTGTCGCGGACGTAACGCATGGTAATAACGTCGCGCAAAATGGCGATAAGGAACAGGTAGGACGATCGATTTTACCAGGCTGGACACATTCGGTTGAAATTTGTTGCCGGATGGGAGAGATCGATTTTTAAAGCGGAATTCCTGCGTAGGCAACTCGCTTGATAAATTTAACGACGGGGCTGCCTAGGAACGAACTGGGTAACTGGGTCGACCGATGTATCAACCACGCCGACCTTTCGGATCAGAAGATAGACACTAGACAAGCGTCTGAAAGGCCAAACGTGAATGTAAATCCGTGATTCTTGATCGTGAAAAACCCTGACTTTTAAGCATCTCCCCTAAAATCCTTCACGAAACGGATAGTAATCCAAGCAGAAAGGCGCAGATATTGCCGTGGATAGTGATTTTATCTTTTATATCCTTCCCATTCTTTTTAGCTGTCTTTCCTTTGGGCGTTTAACGGTTGGATAGATTCATCGAAGATTTCATTTTAGTAGAAGACGTCATCGTATCGTCGTATCAAGATAATTAACCAGCTAGCTATTTTGGACGAGTATACTCGTCATCGCTTACTTTTTGCGATACATTTTAGATACGCGCTTTTCAAACTGATCAAGGGAATTTTGTGTTAGGCGTTAAAGTAGACTGATAAAGGTCTGTGTTTTTACACGATGCCGCTTAAGGAAGGAAGTACATATTGCCGCGAACATTCGACTAATTCGCACTGTGATTACGAAAGAGAAGTCCAAGAACGTGTTTAATATTTTTCTAGTCACGTTTAGTAATCTTCCTAATCGGCGTGCTTTTCTATATTATTACGCTATAAGCTGAATGAAGAATGAAGAATGAAAATTACCAAGAAGCTATATATTTGAAAAAAGTTTTGGGGGTGGTTAAGGATATTGGTAAAAATTCTATTTTAACGAGAGTTTCACTTCGACGTTAAACTAGCAGATGATTCGGTGATTTACGATGACAGAAATGCACGCTCAATTGCCGACATAATTTCGCTTCTAGCGCGATCTTTTGCAAAATCGAGGCCACGAGGCAGTGAAATGCCTCTTGATAGTTACGTTTGTCTACACGCGGCACCCTATCGTCGCTTCTTATCGCTGATAACAAGTTTCGTAAGGTGTGTGTGTGTGTGTGTGTTTCCAGTGAAAAGTAACGTAATGCGTGCCACGATGAAAAAGAGCGAGAAAGAGTCGGCCAGAGCGAACGATGGAGACACTTTTCGTGATTTTGCAGGTGTTGTATACATATTTGTCCCGTGACGATTATGTGTAGCGTTTTATACAGAATATGATTCACGATCTTAAAGAGCGCCGGATGCATGATTTTTCAAAATCTCGTACCACAGTTACGTGCAATTTGTTGAGATTTATTAGATGCTTCGTGGACGTATTATAATCTTTACGAGCGTTCTACGTTTTAAATGCAAAAAAAAATCTTCCTTTTACGTATCTTTACGTATTTTTTGAACGCATTTGAATGTTTTTTTTCGATTTTCTGAATCTTCTCGTTAAGTTGTTACGTAAATGCATTATATAAAGATTATGTGGAGAAGGTTTATTATCTTGCGATTAAAAGGATGTACTTTATGTTGAAAAGGAACACGTGTTTTTAGTACCTGTTGGTATAAAAGACGTACCGATGCCTATGATCTAACGATTCAATTTCTTGGATAGGGTAAAGTAGGGCAAAAGACAGAAAAGTAGAGTAAAATGATTCTAAGAATGATCTAGAATCGTCTTTCTTTTTTTTCTTTAAAGAAACATTCTTTCGATTTGCAAGAAGAAAATTAGTTTCGTCGAACTTTATCCTTGTTTAGTAAGAACAAATAATCTAAAAGTAATGATCGTATATCGCGTTAAGAGCAAGATACGTAACTGAAGGTAACTAGGACATCGGTTTGTTTGAACTTGTCATAGCAATATTCTATCGTGTATAATGTGATTTCGTCGCTAAAAAGTTCAACGTACATGAGCTTCGATTATTTCTCTAACTTTATAACGAAATATACAGTTTCTCTTTCTCTCTCCCTCTATATATATCGTTCTTTATATCGCTTGAAATATCCCCAGTTATGTGACTTATAAAGATTGATAAGTATTATTTATAGTGCGTGCTCATTATTAGATTGATTTATCGACGTGCTCGTTACTTTTTCATTTCCCTTAGACGAATGGCTCGGTTAATGACATTGTTGCTGATTAACGCCTGTACACGGGAAAGAACAGATACGGGACTTACCCTGATTTTCAGTCGGCGCGCGATCGATAGTATGAAAATCGAAACATTCGAAGGTGTACGCAACACCTGCAAAGCTATGCTCTGTTATCGATCACGAAATAATCGAATTGCTTTTTATCTATTTTTCCGTCAATTTTTGAGCAAAACTGTATCAACGATTCGCTGTATCTTCAAACTATCGAATCATCTCTGAAGAGTAGAATCGTAGAATATAAATTTTGGAAATTTCGCAATAACAAGAGCAAAATAGATCTCCAGCCAATATACCATACTTCAACGTTTATCGTCGATTCCCGAAAAGAAGTGTGAAGAAAGTTCTTAAATGATTTCCTACCGAGCGATCTGCTTCGTTTTCGAGCTACGAAATCATCACCGTAGAGTGCAATAATATGTAAATGGAAAATAAATTCGTAAATCTGACAACAACAGAAACAAAAATAGATCTCGAGTTATTTTCTTCTTTATAGCTACACATAATTTTACATAAAATATACAGAGTAGTTGGTCGGGCAACCGTATTTAGCCAAAAACATTCAACGATTCGTTGAATTCCACATATCTGTCGTGACATACGAAATCCCCTCTTTCTCTGTCTTTTTCGAGTCCTTTTCCGAGAACAACGTCGCGTTTAACGGTGCAGCGAAGGCTCACGAAGGATCTGTTACTCGAGAAAAGACGATGAAGTGCACAAGAGGTATCGAATAGCGACCCCGACCTTGAAGAGGT